CCGGTGTTTATCTCGGCGGTAATCAGATATTGGACATGGTTCTCTACGGCTCGGCTCACCGCTTTACACATCAGTCACTGAAAGGTCCTCTTGTTTAAACCCGCGTCTTTAAGGGGAACTATGGGCGACCTCTCTTTGGTTTTATGTGCGTGGGGCCAACCTGGGGACAATTCCTCCGCTGTAGAAAAACCTGCAACCGAAAATTCCCGTTTGGCTATGTGAGGCAGATTAAACACAAATCAAAATGTTGTCCTCCTGCCAATTGACCTGGAACCCACCAAATGCCAAATGGATCCAAACGGCCCCTTTTAGAGGACAATGGTCTTCCAGAACCCCCCCCTTCTCAAGTCTAACTCCATGTTGGTTGGCGGGCGGGTAAACAGCAAGTAAAGCTCACCAAAGAGCAACCAAGCCAATTTCGACCTTTTGTTCGATCTCAAACTATTTGTCCTCCTCGCCAAGGTGCTTCTTCTGCACCGCGCCCATACAAGTTTCAAACATGGCCTTGCCAGGACAAATCTGTCACGATGTCAAAACGGCCAGCCTGTCAGTGTTCAATGTTGAGCTAAAGTAGTCTTGAAAGGACAGCCTGGATCCATAAGAAGCCAGCAACCATGTAGTAAGTAGGTGCAGCATGGTGCATTCCAGTATTGTGCACTAACGTAGCACCTGAACTTGAATCCCTTAGCTCGCGATTTTGCCCAGGATTCATCCAACGTGGCTACTGTCCTTCTGAAGATGGTGGTAGGCGTTCACCCTCCGATCTCCCCTTGCACGACCTGCCAAGGTAGGGGATCCAATGGCCGCGCCCAGGCCCGCCAATGCGTCCTAACGTGTCCAGATTTGCAGCCACCGTTTTATGAGAAAGAGTGGTCGCTCAGCAAAACCGCGACCTGAAGCCAGCTGAAACAAGGGCACAATTCACAATGCCTGAACAAAGAACAGCCATTTGCAAAACCCATGTTGAAATTGTCCCACGTTTGCGTTCCGCCCGCAACCGAGCAGAATGTTAGCAAAAACCAAATATCATCACAACACCCAACGCCCAAATTTCACAGGTACTCTCCCACCAACATGGAATTCACCAGAAGGCACCTTTACAATGAACATTTCCCAGGGGCCTCGAGTCACCTTGATTGATGCGGGGTCACATTTTTACAGGAAGTCCTACACTTTGGGGGGGAAAAACCTCGATATCCACCAGGCTGATTCATCCAGGTCGACCGGAGCGTGCGCCGTCTGGCACCTGGATGCGGTGGTTGCCCTGATCACACACGAAGAGCACCTGAGCCAATCGTCGCCGGTTTGGGCTCCAGATTCCTAGGCATGTTGGGTGATGTAAGATGTAATTAGCACCAAGCAAACTGTTGCCTTCCCCCAAAGCTTACTCATAGTTGCCTGAAATGCATGCAAAGTGGACGACAATCCCCACTTGATCCCTAGCAAGCAGGTACCTGAATATGAGGCAAATAGGGGTCCGATTTTGAGTGGCCCGTGTTCGACAATCAAGGGCCCAAATGAACAAGACCAGCACCGTAGCTGTTTTCACTTGTAGTTGAAGCCTACTCCTGCAAACGAAAAGCTCGGTCATAAACAGAATGCCTGACAAGCAAACGGAGCCTCCTCGAACCCGTGTCAAACAAAAAAAAAAAAATACCCCGGATGCTCGACGTGACTGTGTGAAGTATGCCCATCATTTCAAGAAATCCCAACACAAGCAAGGGGAATTGTCCAGAATCGGAACGCGGGTGCCCTTGTTTCAGCAAACTGCATCCTGCGCTTCGACAACAGTTGCGAGAGCCTCTAAAAGCACCGGCTAGAAGCTTAAGACCAAAATCCTCCAACAAGCCATTCGACCAATGAGACGGGCCAACCAGCCACAAGAAGCTGTTTGATCTATCAAGTCATCGACTGGATCCTCGATACACAACACCCAGAATCTCCAAACAAACACCCGAGTACCAGATCCCACCCACTACCAGCTCCGCCCACAGAAAATCTGAGGACGTCCGGCATTTTCGTCATTCACCGCAATGCCCACAGGGTAGTGGAAGAAGCCGTCCTGCCCAGGCGCAAAGTCCTTGCTCTTGATGGGTCCCCTGATCCCTGATCCCTTGAACCCTGCCTCCCATACATCGTTTAAGAGTCTGATGAATTGTGTGATGCGTGGGTATTTATGCTTTCCCTACATGCTTTGTTACCGTGTGTCCGACTTGGGAGCGCAAGCAATCTAATTACAACTGCTAGTATCTGGTTGTCTCTGTAGACGTTGGACTTGGTGCTGGCATGTCCAATCCGTGAGTATAATAAGGACTGTAATTGCAACCACGATCACGTTCTTCCAATGCCAATGTGACCTGTCAACTGGATGTGGCAAAATATCCATTCCAACATCATATTCACGTATTCTCAGCAAAATAAATTGACTATCACATGCATGAATGTTGTCCTTTGTCACACACACACACACATGATGCCGCCAATTCAAGTGACAGGCCAGCCTCATAGAAACTAGCCATCCAATCTCCCCTCCCCATGTACAGTGTTGATTTCCCATTTCGCGCCTACCAAATAACCACGTACATGACAGGGTCCCTTTATTGGAAGGATCCCGCTTTCTATACATTTATCGGCGGCACTTGAGCCCGTTTGAGTCTTGCTAGAACAAGCTAACTCCAGGATGACAAAGCTTCGATTATGAGGTTCGTGTCTGTGTGGAAGGCAACCCTTTTGAGGTCCCTTCAAAGAAGAGTCCTCTACAAATGGGTCATTTTAGGGGTCCACGATGACCTGCAGGGTAGTTGTTTGTGCAGTACAAAGAACTACCAGTACCAGGTTGAATCAGAAACACCGGGAAAAAGAACACACAACAAATATAAGACAGAAATCCAGACAATGCAACAAACATCTAAAGGAACGAGAGCGAGAGAGAGAGAGAGAGAGAGAGAGAGACAAAGAGAGAGAGAGAGAGAGACACAGATAAAGAGAGAAAAAAACAAGACACTAAAGGAAAAGACACAGAGAAAGAGAAGGAGAAAAGATAGAGAGGGAGATAGATTGTAGGCCCCCAAGTGGTGGATAAAAGTAAATGTCCTGGTGTGTGACATGTGACGTTTACATCTGCCCTAAGGCTCCTTACAAAAAAACAAAAAGATCCACGGCCCTTCTAGCACTTGGGGCTTTCGGGTGTGCAATAGCATGCTGATTCCCCACGTGCAGGATTTTGTCCATCCACAGCAGGCAGTGGTGCTTTAGGGTAGAAACACGGGCCTCGCTTGCCCAACTTAGGTCGGAGATGGCTCAGTGCTTGGCTATGCCAGGGCTGCCAGGGCCTACACGGGACTGCCATGGGGTGACAGGGTGACAGGGTGACAGCGGGTTTTGTGGGGGCTACTGATCACTGCATACTCCCAAACAATCTCTGCAAGGCCATCCTGACGGGCCCGCACGCATCTCCAGCCTTCTTCCCGCGCACGCCGAAGGACCGCAAGAAGGTGCCCTTGGCATCAAAGACCTCGCGTGCGGAGTCTCCCGATCTCCCTCTCCAGAGAACTAACATCAAACCCGAAGGAGCCTCATTTGCAGAGAAATCTCTTTTGGTTAACCTTGGGCAAAGAAGGCTCGTTCTCATTGCTCGATTTGTTCCAAGCGACCGTGTTCAGGGCTGGAAAAGGGCCTCGAGCCGTTCCGGGTTTTGCTGGGTCTCCCGAGTCCCCAGGAAGGCATCCGAAATTCGGAGCCCCCCAACAAACCAGTCGGCCAAGGAATCCCAAAATGTTGAGACACCCCGGGAGTCGGGCATTGGCCAAGGGCCATTGAAAGCCCGTCCTACCAGTCATCCAGGGAAGTTGATGACTTTTATGATAAAACGGTAGAAGGTCGCCTCTTTTGGGGTTGGCCATGTTGAGTGAATCCCACTTGGCCAACGACGCTCACACTGACCATGGGGACAGATTGCTTGGCTGATGTTGAAGAGAACTCTATTGAGCAAACCTGTGTCCGTACGCATCCGGGAAGAACCGGCTCTTAACACAGGCTGGGCAGTGATCTTCAGACTTAACTCTGGTGAATTGACAAGCCCATGTAAAGTAAAGCTCAAGCTTGCACGAGGCATGAAAAGTAAATGTGGCATGCCTGCTTGACATGCCGCAAGGCATGTATTTGGATCTACCAAACGGATTAATACGTTTCATACTTCAGGCTTCACCCCGCACACAGTGACAAACATGCAGTGGACATGGACACCACGCTCGTTTCGAAGAAATGCAATGTCCAAACAGGAGCACTTGGATAGTCTGGAAGCCAGCTAAATGATGAACCACCGAGAACCCCGGCTAACCCTTGTCAGCCCTTCTAGCCATTCAGAAGCCAACCACTTAACTTTTGGGCCATCTAAGTGATGTCCTATTTTGTCAAAACTCCGAAGCAGCGGACTTCATGTTATGGCTCCCCTGAAGTAATCCCATTGGTTGTTGCTTCCCATATTTATGTGTATATATATATAGCAATCTATACCTGGACACTCTTCCAAGTCCCTGCACGTTAACATGGACCCAAACAGAGGTACCCCAGAAGGAACTTGCTCGAAAGACGCTGGCCATTTGCGTTCCGGCTCAATCTGCAGAAGAGTGATGTCAAACCCTTCAGGGTAAACCCCAGTACCATAGTAATTACCCCAATGAACAAGAAGAACGCCATGCCCCTCTTGGAACCAACTTCGGGGGCACAAACAAAACTCCAGCTGCTTGACGTGAACCTTGTGCAATGTGGCTGGTGAGAGAAGATCCTTTTGGGGGACCTCCTTTGGGAATTCCATGCAAATAAGCCGGGGAGTACAACAGGAAACAGGCCCTGGGATTGTCGAGTTCTGCGCGCCTGGACGCGGTTGTTCCCATCCGAACTGGGCGAACGCGGGTGCTTGCCCGTGGGGTGTAATCAGGAGCCAGCACACCCCAAACTCCCAAACAAAGGCCCTCCACCGACCGATCAGAACTTGTTTTTTTCTTGCTTTGGTTTCTTTCTGAGTTCTGAGATAGCGTCCAGATATGGGGTCTTGAACTTTATTACCTGGAAAGTGTCTGTGCGTCCCCGGTGGTGCCCTGGTGGTGCTTTAATAGTTTCCCAGTGTCGTCTTGGTAGTGCTGTCCCGGTTTTCTGATGGTGTCCAGTGTGTCCCGGTCTGGTTCTAACTTTCAGTATTCATTTTTTTTGCTGAGGAGGGGGGTTGTATTTCAAGTTCTTCTTTAAGCACTCCAGTGAATTCATACCAGAGGGGAGCAGAGTTTGTTCCACTTCCATGGCGCTCGGTGCTACCTGTCAGTGATCCGGAGTTTTTGAACCAAGTGGCGCCTTTGAATCGTTCAGTCCTTCTTTCCCAATCCTGCCACATCTGCGTGTTTCTTCGCTACTGATTGAGCCTCCTCATCTTTGGGCCCATATCGTAGGCCTTCATTTAATGTGTCGACATGGCTTTCATGTTCAAACCACATTTGCAACCGGGTGCCAGCGGTCTTGGAACTGCCCCACTCAACACGAAGCCATGAAACACGCACGTCGAATGTACAGCACAGCAAACGTAAAGCTGTCACTGCTATGCGACGCAAAGGTCACAGTATACATTCAAAAGCTAAACAAGCAACGCCAACAGCCCTCAACCTGTGCTAGTATTAGTAATGCAGAATACACATGCATCTAGAGTCTAGAGTGAAGTTGGCTGGCTAAGGCCGATTAAAAATCTAAGTTGTCCAAAGTCCCTTTTGGCTGCGGTGTGAGCCTTACGACACACATATCAAGTTTATCGCAAGCCTGCCTAGTGCAGCAGACGAAACCCGAGACTGGATACGCAAACCAAGTACAATGGTTAATTGTAAAAATGGCGCTAGCTGTTAGCATGTCGAAATGGCACAACATCGAATCCGGGGCCTGCATGGAAACACGACCCACTTGCCGACCAAAGACCATGGTTGTGGCCATGTCCAACACCCCGCGCCCAGTGCATCCGTGCACATGTTGTGGGAAACAACCCTTTTCGTGCTACCATTACCTATCTGCAATGTCAGGACTGGTTCTCGCAATTTCAGAGAAGCTAGCCCTGGAAACAAACAAAATAGACCCATTTTCCACCACCATGCCGCCCTTTCGCCACCATTGCGAAGTTTTGGCCGCCGGGATTCCACACATCAGGATGTCCCCGGTGCATGAGATGGTGGCGGCCAAAGGTGAATCGAACTGCCTGGCAGGCACCCGGCGCGACCAGAGTGGGCGTAATGACAGTGCGGTCAGCGTGGTAAAGAAGCCCTCTCTACGAGATGTAATTCACAAATGTGCACAAGTCATACAATAAACACACATGTATATATATATATTGTCCCACGTCATCACCATATGTGCCCAGACACTTTCACTGATCCCATCACTGAAGCCGGCCTGCCACACTAGTGCCGCAGCAGTTGGCTTTCTCAAAGCCAGGAACCATGTCAGATCTGCTAAATCGACGTCTCGTCGAGCAACCTATCCTCCAAAGACATCCGTTGTCTGAGAGGAACAAAGCAGTGCACTGCATGAACAAAAAAGGCTACAGTGACACCTAGCCGCACCACCCCATCATCTTCCAGTATATGGAAACTTGCCACAGCCAGTCACCGAAAAGCAGCGAAGTAATTTCTCAGGAAGTTCAAGGGTGGCTTGTTTGGCGGAATCAAACTGCTGGGGGGAGAGCAGGCTCAGCAGCAGCAACAGCAGAGTACGTCTCGCCCACGAGTGAGCATGACTTTGCCATCCATAACCATTTGTGCAGGAGTGGGATGACACAAACCACGAAGCCATCATGCAATAAGCAAATACCACTGTGCGAAGCAAAAAGTTCCAGTTCAGCGAAAGGAAGCGATGACCAGAACGCAAAATGAGTCGAGATTAAAAAAAGTGAAATCCTCATGCAAGAGCACGCCTTGGCGGGGAAAACAGCTGCAACAGCATTGCCGAGAAAACGCAGCGCCAAGGCCCATCTGTGCGACTTAGCGACGCAGGGCTTTTCGGGCCAACGGCCCGATGGGCTTGGGGCCCAAAGCCTCGCCCATTGTGTCCAAGTACTGTCTCATGATTGCGTAGTATGGAAGAAACATGGAAGCCTGATGGAGCCTGAAGTCAATCACACATGCAGTCTTCTTGGCAGTCAGCTTGCTCTGGCAAGAAGAAACTTCGCGGGCCACCAAGGGAGGATCGGGATTGCTCAAGAAGGCCTGCAAACCGGCAAGAAAGGTCGCATCGCGCTCACTGTGATGTGCGAGGCCATGCCGGTGCAAGTGGTGAAGAAGAAACGTGCCAACTGCGGCGCCACAGCTACCCATCTCATGCGGCTTGCCCTGAACATGTCTGTCCCGCCACAGCTTAGTGGCAGCCATGGTAGCAACCGCAACCTCATGCTTCAGGCCAAGCTTATACACAAGGCTATGTGCGTGCACCAACTGCGTCAGCTTACGATCATGCGAAAGTACTATCTGGGTCAGCTCCACCCAAGACAAGGCGAGCACTCGGGGGGCAGAAGTCCCCGAAAGCCGCGTTGACGCCCTCCATGAAATCATCCGTGCCACGCAACTTCTTGGAGGGCTTGTCACGGGTTGTTCGATCAAGGTCAAGATGTTCTGAGACATGGCTTGGTTGAAGGAGCACTACTAAAGCAAAAAATGTCTGCGATGCAACTGCAAGCGATGAGGAGCTGGGCGCAGACTTCAGCTGCCCGACCTCTTGCTTGCCCTGATCCAATTTGTGGTAAATCCTTTTTGGACAAATCTCAATTGAATCGGCATTTGCGATCTCAGTGTCTAGGCAGACCGTGCTGCATTGCTGTTCGCCAAGGTGATAAATATGTGCTGCCATGCAACTTGTGTGGCACTTTTTGGGATTCCACGCATGCATTGGGCATTCACAAGCGTTTGAGTCACTAAGTCTTCTCTGTGATTTGGGAGGATTTGTCGACTTTGTACCTGGCCCACGGCCTCTCTATGTTACTTGGGACACAGTGGGCGCCTACATCCTGGACGGCTGGGCGGCCGCGAGCCACCCGCCTCCCCGAGTATTTGGCCCTACTGGCTCTTGCAGCCAGTCGCAGTTGCAATATCTCTCACCGACGCTGCAGTTCCTTGTGTGGCAGAACCTGCAGCGCGTCAACCCCTGCAAGTTTTTAGCCACGAAGTTGCATCCATCCTGAGAGCAGCTCAGGTCCTTCTCAGGAACACGCGGAGCGGGCGCAGGCGAACCCTATCAGCAGCAGCGGTGGGGCGATTCTGAGGCTTGATATCAATAGCAGAAACAACGCGCCTCCAGTTCGGTCAACCGCCTGTCTGGCCCAGAAGCGTGTGTCCACCTCCGGAAGCGTAATCCTACGCCCTGACCTAGGAGAAGGAGGGGAAGCCCGGCGCCGAAGCGTTCCAAGCAGCATGAGTCGGGTAATGCGATGCACTGGAAGGCGAGCAAGGTGACCCAACCATCGTGTCAAGCGCTGGTGCAAAAGCGTCAGTATGGAATCCGCAGCTGCTGGTGCAGAGAGACATCGCTGATCCGTTGCTCGGAAACATCCCGACAGCTCAAACAAAGGCATTGCGAAGGAAAGATCGCCAGGTGCGCTGCAAGCATTTGACATCCGACGCATCCATGGTCCACAGCTCACTACCATACAGCAAGACACTGGAGACACAGCTGATGAGCAAGTCTAGCATGACGTAACTGTCCAAAGGCAGAGTGCGCCAAGGAAATGCGCCTACGGATATCAGCTGGATTCTGCAGCCTGGGAGAGCATCGCGTAGCCTGAGAAATCCATCCAGCTCAAGCCATTCAGTTTTAGCCTTGTTCATGCTGGGCTCCAAAGAGTTGCAGAGTGTCATCTAAAAGAGCGCTGCAAGTTTGAAATCTGCACCAATCCGAGTCAAGGTACACCGTGTCATCAGCAAATTCCGCATCCAGAGCAGCAGCTGACCACCAATCCGGCCAGTCATCCGCTCCCCAAACCTGTACGTCTCCTCATAATCAGCAGTGAGCATTGGGGATGCACGAACCCGTCGCCTCCTCCAATCCGGAAAAGGCAGCACCAGTTTCTGAATTCTCGTGCAATATTACAGACGCACTTAGTATACCGCCCGTCTGCTGACGGGAGGCCTCGCATGTCATGTCGCATCGAATCCTGCGGGGGCGCCACCCTTCTTCTTCTTTTTCTTCTTGCTCTTGCCTCCATCAGCAGCAGCAGCAGTCGACCTACAGCTTCCCTTAGGGAAGCCTGGTCGGCACAGCCCATGGCTCGGGCTCGGGGTCCCTCTTTTTGGGGACGGAGAAAGTGTCCGACAGTGTGTCAGCGGACCTTTCTGAAGAAGTAGATTGAAAGGAGAAGAGAGAGAGAGAGAGAGAGAGAGAGAGAGAGAGAGAGAGAGAGAGAGAGAGAGAGAGAGAGAGAGAGAGATAGATTGAGTGTGATTGCAGTGGCAAACGAAGTTCGCGGCAGTTGGTCAAGCGGGGGCAAATTGCTGCCCCAGAAAGAAGTAGACCCCGCCAGCGTAGTCCGCCATCATCACGGGCTATAGCCCATCGTGCAGTAGTGAAAGCTGTGCACCGGTGCCGGGGCATTGTGTGCCCAAAAAACCAGTGAAGCTGCTGGTGACCGGCATCGGGCGTGCTGCCAAAAAGGCCGGTCGGCTCATCACCCCTCCGGGTTCGCCCTGGCAGCCTGCGCCGCCTCGGCCGCCCGTCTCAGGGCTTCCTCCACCCCGTCTGCCTCATCCCTCCCCCGGCTGCGCTCCCTGTCGGGGCGTTGCCCTTGCTGGTGGCCCTTCTCGTCCTTCTCTCCCTTCGCGGCAGCTTTGCCTTTGCCCTTGCCCTTGCCCTTGCCCTTCTTGCCTTTGTCCTTGCCCTTGCCTTTGCCTTTGCTAAGGCCCTTCTCCCCACCACCACGCACCCGGCGGTCCAGGAAGATCCGCATTTGGTCTCCTCCAGCACCACCTCCAGCACCCACCACCATCCGGTTGCAAGTGCTTCCACACCACGTGGGCAACCTGAAGCCCAGCCAAGCCCGTGCGGAGCCGTATGAGCAGAGCTCGCTCCCCGTCCTGTAGAAGCCAACCACCATCTCAGGGGTCAGGGGCCTCGCCAGTGTCACCACCGGTGGCGGTTCCGCCACGAGCCAGTTGGCCAGCTCGCGGGCAGCGCCCTCACCCATGGCAGCTGCGAGCGCCGCCAGCACTCCTTGCATCGCCATTGTCTCCGTGCCTGTAGGCACTATCGTCGTCAAGCGATCACCAAAGTGACCACTGATCGCCTGAAGCAAGAGGGGCGTCAGGACCTGGGGCGCTGTGTGTAGTTGGCGAGCAGCTTCAAGTTCTGTGAACCGTTCCATCAGTCCAGGCACTTGTAGAAGGACTACCCTATAGGGTTGAAGCAAGAAGTCAAGGTCACGCCTGGCGGTGTCCATGCTGACGTCGCCAACCTTCAGCAAGGCTTCCGCGGCTGCAGTGTGGTGCTACCTTTTGTGTTGGTGTTGAGCGAGGTCTGTCGGTGCTTTGTAGCAGCTGAGAGCCAGTGATGCAATGTGCGGCAACCATTCTGCTATCAACCATGCCTGACAACTGCTCAGTGCCGCCATAGATATGAAATGCAGATTCTGCCACGCCACTCCACTTAGGGGCCAAGAGATCAATGTCCCTGAAAAAACAGGGTCCCGGGCTTGCCCTTTCATGCCGTTACCGAACAGGCCTTCAACGTGTGCGGTCAAGGCAATGACATTTGCTAAGTGTGTGTTTAACATGCTTGCACTCAATGGTTTCAAGGTTCAACTCAGCTGAAACATGAAAGCTCAGACGAGACAAGTCGACGGGAGGGGACCAGGGGAACCACAACCAGAACAACCCACCTCACCAACGCACAAGGACCAGACAGGACCGACGACCGTGCGCGACCATGACGGTGCAAAGTGCAAAGGGGGAAGTGCGGGGGTGCGGCGCCAAAGGACGCTCGGGCCTGCGGAAAGCCGCTTGACGCCAGAGGACGTCGACCCAACTGGGGGGGGTGCACGGTGCGGGGTGCTGCGCCAAAGGACGCTGGGCTTTGCGGTAAGCCGCGCGACGCCAGAGGACGTCAGCCCAAATTTGTGCAGGGGGTGCACGAAATGTGAACCACGTACGTCCACGATACCACCACGCGCCAGCTACGTGTCCAGAAGAAATCCCATAAGCGGTATTTGAACGACATTCG